TGAAGAGGGTGAAATTGGGACATGTCGTTAATAATTTGCATGAAAAGGTCCGTTTTTCGGGACCTTTGCCTCCAAACGAACTCACACAAATAGCTATCCACTAAAGATCAGAGTGGGCCGCATTGGCGTTTATTCTGCATCTTTTAGGCGTGCCACTGCTGGGGAAAGACTCGCCCTGCGTGGTTTTTACGGCGAGGTATTAGTGTTTCACCGATCTCGTCGTGTAAACCTGGGCCGCTGATAACTGTTGGAGTCTGCAAAAGCCGCCAGGCGCAAATTTCGCGAAGAGAGTTCTTCCAGTCAACAGCGGTCGTGTGGCTAATAGATAATTTTTCTGAGCAGAATTTCATTCTTGCTAAATTTTTGGACCAGCAGTAAATAAATGAAATACTGTCTTAAACTCCACCCAAGTTCCCTTTCGAAGACCGATTTCTTGCCGACACTGTCGGGAATTACACCTTCACCTGTCAGAAACAGTTAAAAGTGTCATTTGATGGCCATTGTTGCATAAACGTTGCTGGTGGATCCCCGTGGCTTTGGAAAGGACGTATTGCCGTCTCCTTGTCATGAACGGGAGTTGAAAGTGTCAGTTCGTTTAAGGTTTTACGTCCGAAAGGAGAAAATTTTTGTACAAAATGAGCCTAGATGCGGATAAGGAATTGTTTTCATCAAAAGTAGGTCAAGGTTGTGTGCGCACATTAAATTGGAGCTGACGAAAACTGGCGGGGCTTAATTATTCGCACATGGACTTTTCGAATTAGTGGCGGGGCTTATCTGGAAAAGATCCGTTATTTATAATTGTCTCCTAGTGAGTAGACAGAAATAAGAAAACGGTGCTTAATTATAAGACAGGTTTTTCTGTCTTTTCACGGTTAATGCAAGGGAAATGTCGATGGCACGCCGGCTTAGTTACGACACATTTGTTCACAAAGTATTTCTTGATGTTCCTGCACATTCCGGAAACTTCAGAGGACGGACTTGAGCACAACCAAAAGTCTCAAATCGAGAAAGAAGGGGGTAAATAGTTTTTAAACAGCGATTCACTTTAACCATTGCCTTTCAATATATGGTGAATCTTGCAAGAAGCAGTTTTCGACAGTTCATTAGAATCAGCAAATGATTTACATGACAGCCCATGTTGACGTACTGAATTTGAGGAAAAAATAAGTGAGTGAAAGGTGTTCTTTCGTCATTTAATTCAGAATATGCCGTAATACCAAGAGATAGAGGGAGAATGCGTAGGAGACAAAACACATCCACGAAGACATTGTCCAAACAGACTGGGACGATTGCACGTATGGTGAGAGAAATAAGAAATAGCGAGAGAACATTGTCAGACAAAGTTAGAAGTTAGAAAAAGTGGTCTACCCGAAGCAACATGTGAGGGATATGTAGGTGGAAAACACAGCCCAAAACTCTGAAACAGCCATACACACACAATCATGCATGTCGATGATAGCGCATTGATGGGTGTGGAAAACCGGGACCTCATAGTGTTCGGTTGCCGTGCGGAGTAGAGGCAGTGCAAAGGACGAAGGTAGTCCCATTCCACCCAACGGAATCACAATAGTTGACACAAAAGGCGGGCTGAAATGGACAAATCACATTTCAGCACGTCCTACTTCCTGCTCCATTTTATAATGCTTCAGGTCTGTCAGACTGCGAGCCAATTCTGACCACTGTTCGGGCCCAGGTTGGGATAAGGATTCATGAACGGAGCAGATGGTTACACGGCCCTGATTATCTCCAGCGGCTAAATAGCTACCTGAACTATCCCAACGACACTTGTTCAACGCGATGTTGCCTCCAGTCCGGTCTTGACCTGCGTGACCCCGAATGGAATGACGTGCACAAGGAACCTGAAAACAGAACAGAATCGTAGAAACAGTTTAGAACTGGCTTAGACCATGGAAATTAAGTGGCAACAAACTCACGACTAATCCATGGCGTAAAGAAGTATCTCATTAGAATGAGGTTTGTAATACGTAGCCCACCCCTGTTATATAAACCGTATGCTAAAACTGGTGTGCCGTACTTCCTACATTGTGACAGATGACACTTGAGGCGTAGCAAACTGGAAAAGTATTGGAACCTGGGAGAATGAGCTAACTTGGCCAAAGCAAGTTGCTTTCGAAAAAAGAGTCGGATTTGTCCCTGGAGCGAATTACTAGTCACTGCATGACTATAAGAAAGATCTTGACCCCCCATCCAATGAAATAATGTACATTTAGTCATTTCAGTCGGGTGAGCACTGTGCAGACATTTCAATCTTGAGGGAGGGTCAAAGGATCAAGTAATATGGCCATAGAGTTCTATTCATAATTGATAGAGAACATGTTTAGAACTCATCCCACTGAACTCACTGAGGCATTTCGAGCACGATAGTCAACCGCTAGTTATATTGTAATAAAAAAGGCGCAACGTATAACTGGACCATGTTGACGAGGGTAGATATATATGGTCCAGCTGAGAAAAAATGCCTAACAAGAACGGTGTAAGCATTGAGACTTTGAAGAAGGTCAACAAGTGGAGCATTTACTTGTCTTAACTGATATGGAAAAATGGTTCAACGTGTTCAGCAAGTGCTCTTTTTGTCCGTACTTGAAGATTCGAACCATCAATCTCTACAAGATAAGGCTTGAAGCACGGGTAAAAGAACGTCTCCTAGTGCGTGTTGATTAAATCGTACCGATATGACACTGATCACCCTACGTTTGTCCAAAATTCCGCTTCTTACACTGCCAAGCCCATCGTCTAATGTGTCCACCAAGTTTGGATTTCCTCTGCCGTCAAAGTCGCCACAACAAGTGGAAGACCTTTTCGCACGAAACTACTTAGGAAACCGATGAAACTTCAGGTAGCTCACTATTAGTTTCGTCTTCCTTGAGGTACAGCAGGTAGGTCGACCAAAGAATTCCCTTCAATCTAAGTCCACACTTGAATATCGCCCAAACTAAGAGATGAGGCGGTTCTTCTGAAGTACTTAAGTTGAGACTCTTGTCACTACCAATTCAATTTGCAAATAAATGAAAGACTCCGTTCGTGAACCTTCAGCAAAGAATCGACAATTACATGACTTAAGCCAGGTCTCAGTCGGACAGTGCGTCTACTATGGCCCGTATGATGTGGTTGTACACTATATGCCTTTTCATGGAAATTGGATTTTTTAATATTGATTTGTATATTTGTTTGGGGGCGAGATGGCCCAAGTGGTTAGAGCGCGAATTTACTAGCCGGAAGATCCGTGGTTCGAACCCGATTCCCCTGTCTAGGCTTGGGCAACCTGGCAGTATCCCAGGCCTCGTGCAACCTTCGAGTGGCATGACAGTTAGGCACCGAAAAGGTGCTACAGCTGAACGACTTTTTTCAAATATTTGTTTAGTCGTTAGCTATGTGACGCGTAGTGCAGTTGACAGCAGCGCACAAACGGTCCTTTTATCATAATTCCAAACTCAGCCAAGTGGTTTACCTGGTTCTGGAATGAAGACTCATTCTAAAAGTTGATGAATTTATTGGGTCGAGAAGAATGGCTGATACTTAAAACCCTAGCGATAGAAACCTTCAGTTATATCAGGCGGTAACAAGACTGTTCTTGCGAAGCTTGTGTGTTTGAAGAACAGCCCATAGACAAGTCTACGTTGAACTGTACGACTGGAAAAATCCTATGGTACGGACAGCATTCACTCAGTGTAGTGACGCGGAAAAAGCATCTGTGGAACGTCCACAGTTGTAGCTAAATTATGGTCTGTCACGACAAAATTAGAGCACAAAAAGTAGGATCATTCGCAGCGACGACCGTGAACTCGAACAAAGAACCTATCTGTCCGGGGAAAAGCTTAATTTCAAGTGAGAAAGAACTGGAGCACGTAAGAAATTCACAGCCCATCACGAGGTAACAAAACAACCTGATGAGAGCATCAACTGCCTCCCTTCTTTCTCTCCCACATATTCGCTCTAACCCCTTATCACTCCGTTGTTAGCGCCAGGTCCGTAGGCCTGTTGTTGAGAAATGACAGATCCGTTCGTCATCCATTACCGCTAACTGTAATATCTACGGCTAACTCAGCCACCACAGCCAGACACTTCGAAATCATTCTTCAAACTCAGTCGCACGGTTCATCTGGAAGTGTTTGCACATTGAAACAGGCTGGACAAAAGATTCCTCTTGCCTGTATGGTGGACTCGTTTCCTGTTTTAGTAAGGAAGTGAAGCACCCATCTGATGCTGCTTTCAATTATGATGATGATGCGCATCAATTGCACAAGTGAGCTCCGTGATCTCATGTCTTCAACTACAGTCTCAGCTGAGATTGTTAAACATGAAGCTCCTGAAGAAGATAAGATCACCCGTCTGAAAAAAACTACACGGTGAGGAAGACAACTGCACGCAACGGCGAATCATAGTTGAAGTTGGACAGTTCAGTGACAAAGTTACCTCAACATCCTGATTGATATTCCACACGTCCAGACGACCGGTACCGTCTACCGCCGCAAACACCGCAGGGTGAACAGGACTCCAACTAACATCGTACACATAGTCGAAATAATCCTCAAATGTATGTAGTGGAGTGTATTCGGAAGTGGACCAAAGGCGGACAGTCCAATCGAGAGAGGAGGTAAGGAACAGAGAGGAGAAGTTCATGGCACCGGGACACGGATGAGTCGATATGGCTGTGATGGGAGCGCAATGACCTTTGTATGGAACGTTACGAGATGCATCGTCCGTGGTTGCTGTGCGACTGTTGCAATAGCACAAACAAAAGAGGTTCACGAATTTGAAGTTAGAGATAGTATAGTGAAATATAGCACCATATTAAAATCAGTAAGAGAGGACTCAAATTATCCAAGTGGATACAGTTTAGGAATACTGGACAGTAGTAAGTTCCGTCTCCATGAAATCGAATCGCAGCAGTGCCAAGAAATGTTTTGTGAACCTGCGGTTTGGGTTTCAGGGAGGATGTCTAAATGAACGACTGGGAACCTCTAAAAGCCGTTTACAACTCATGTAGGAGTAGTTAGACTCGTCAGCAATCAGCATAAATATGCGAAATCAGCTAAGCTGAAACCTTAAAAGCTTGCGGATGTAAATTACAACTATCTCTGATGAACAGCGTTCCCAGATGAGCGAAATCGACCTGTGTTCAGGTAGAAGAGTAACAAGACAGTGTACATCAAGGACGTAATTATTTAAAGAAGAGTAAAGGAACTTAAAAAAATCGGAATGCGTGCATCAGGGACGTAATTATTTAAAGAAGAGTAAAATGACTCCCGTAAAGGAACTTAAAAAAATCGGAATGCGGAAAATTTCCCACTTGAGATGTACTAAAGTTAGGGAGAAATAACGCAACTTGGAGACTCAGAAGAAACTGACCACAAAGTGGGTGGAAACTTGTGCAAAAAACACTAAAACAGGTCCATGAGGACACGAAGGATGCTTAGTCTGATATCTATGCGGTCAGATATAACTAAAATGCCAATGGTGTTGTAGTACATGCATCCACGATGCACCGTGACTACTGATCATTTCGTTCCGAGCATCACATTACGAATAACCTCTAGAATAAGCGAAACAGATTGTTCACCACACCGTGCTCCACAATCAACCATAATTCCCACCATCAGTGGGACTTACCTATCACAATCATCATCCACAGCATCAAATAAGTGCTTCGCTGGGTGGTAGTCTTTAAATCAATTTTCGAATCTTGGTTGAGAAAAGGCAGTTCTTGCGAAAACTAGAAGATAATCTACTGAAGAAACACTGGGCGAGTGGATTTTTGAATGAACACAGATTGGGGGCGAGATGGCCC